GACAAAAGACTTCTTAGGAAAAGAGATATTAACGATCAAAACGTGTATACATACTTTTGGGACACCCTGTATAATCATCTCGCTGCGGTTGCCGTACGGCAGAAATCTGCTCTAGTGAAAAAAAAAACGATTGTGTTCCACAGTGATCACATTGCAAATACAATACATAGATTAATTCGATATATCGAAATTAGCTTATGAAATTTTGTATAGATGGTGGAGCGTGCCGACTTCCTACCTGAGCTTGTCACTGGAATAGCAGGTCGCGAAATTGCTCATCTTTCCTACCTCGGCCCTTTTATTAGTTATGGTATTCCTTGTGACGAGTTTGTTGTAAGTTATCTCCCCCTTCGATCTTGAAACGTGACTTCTTCTTTTTCATTTTAGACTCCACTGGCAAGCAAGTTTTTTGGTGATAACGAAACGCCTAAAGCGGAGGCACTCAATATGATGTACGAGAGTTACCGCAGAAGATTTGAGACCACTAGAGTATGTTTATCACTCTTTATCTTCTTTCAATATATCGTATAGCTTACATTTAGTCGTTGATGCACCAAATAGTCCACCAACTAGTAGCAAATCCATCGTCACGTGGCCGATGCTTGGATTATTTTGCTGTTGTGATCAAGCAGAACGAGAAGAGGGCGCAAATGAGGGTCTTTGTCAAGAAATATTTGGATGCATGCTGTATGCTATTTATTCAAGGCTGATTTTGCTACGCTTGCTTCCCACACCTTTATGGTAAATCTCATGTGCGTGATGTTCGAACTTTCATCTAAGATTGACATCTCGAAGGTACGTGTTTGTTTGAGTGTACTAGTCAAGATGCTTGTCTGGTGGGATTCAGTCTAAACGCTACTACGTGATGGGTGCCATACCTTCGATAGTCAGGAGACAGAACCTTGAATGTGATAGTTTTACAAGTGGTAGTCGTTATAACCTTATAAGTGATAGTTTGAGTTCCAGCCCCCGGTAAAAAGTGAAGGTTGTTTGTAAGTAGATGGAAATTAAGAGATATGAAGCAAGTCAGGTGA